GATAGCTTAATTTCTCTATCGAGTAAAAGTTATATCGCGATACATATCGTTATCGTTCTATCGCCCAGCTCTAAGATAACCTAATAATGATCCTTATAGCTGTTTTAGAGGAGCGGTGCTTCAAAGGATAGTTGCAGATTTGTCAGAATCTGCAGATTATACAGTACAAATAAAATGTTCACGTTTCTCCAACGTTGTCTTCCCAACAGTTTCACTGACATCTACACGGGATTGCCAGGAAGCGTTCGCGATGTCTTCTCGGGCGCTGATAATTGGCGTCTGTCTTGTGTCAGTGACGTAAAAGACGGATTTAATGCGACATGACCGTTCAAACAGCAGTCGCTTTCTAAAACATCGGATATGTATTGGATTCAGTACCACATACGAAAGTGACCCAGGTCAAATTTGAAAATATCGGATTTGTGCCGTTCACACTGTCATACCATGATCGGATATGGGTCGCATAGGGTTAAAAATAAATAAATAAATAAATAAATAAATCTGATTTGATGCGCTTTCGCCTGCAGTGTGAACGTAGCCTTAGTCCCTATGAACCCCAAAGCGCTTTACACTACATCCAGTCATTCACACAAACATTGGTGATGGCAAGCTACATTGTAGCCACAGCCACCCTGGGGCGCACTGACAGAAGCGAGGCTGTCGGACACTGGCGCCACCGGGCCCTCTGACCACCACCAGTAGGCAACGGGTGAAGTGTCTTGCCCAAAGACACAATGACCGAGACTGTCGGATAGGCCTGGGCGATATGACCCAAAATTCCTATCTCGATATTCTTTAGCTGGATGGCAATATAAGATATGTGTCAATATTTTTTTTTTTTAAAGCCATAAAGTGAGAACAAAAAGAGAGTTCTTAGTCAAAGCTGTGTCCCAGCTTTCACACAGGCACTTTTATTAACATACAGCGTAGATGTACAAGAAAAAATTACTCAGAAATAAATTATGAGCATTTACTGGATTACAATTACTTTTTTCAAGTAACAAGTAAAGTAAGGGATTACTGTTGCAAAAACGGTAATTAGATTACTGTTACTTTCCCGTAAGCACACTGCGTTACTAAAACCATGATTTCTTTTTTGCGAGTGTGACGTTCGTGACAACAGCTGTGTGCAGATCAACAATGGATAATATATTGAGTGCGGAGAGAGTACGAGCATGTAGCGTTTAAAGCGTGGAAGTACTGACCTTACTTTGAGTTTGATTCCATAAAAAGTGACAAAAACATTAGCGTCTGCTGTTCACTGTGTGGGAAGAAAACTTCTTTTTACAGCGGAAAAAAAAACCCTAAACTTCCGAGCAAGCACCGAGTGCGCTACGACGTAATGGGAAATTCAGAGAAACTCGCGGATTCTTCCACTGACCGATGCGGCAGACCTGCACCAGGGTAAACCTCCGCCTAACCCACTCCTGCTATACAGGAGAAAATAGAGCAACAGGACCGCTGAGTCTTTGATTTTATTTATTTTCAGCTGTGTTTTACTTGCATCTATTTGAAAGACTGAGTGTAAACACAAATATTTTATTTTATGTGCTGGAATGTGCAGAAAATGGGTTTAAATGTTCAACAAATTTCTTCCAGTCAGAGAATGGTGCATATAATAAAATTTTTGCTTGGTGCATAAAGTTAAAAGATTAAAACTGATAAAACGTTTTTTAAAAGTTTTAAAAAGAGACTTCCATTTGGTTACATTTTGTATGATGGGTTATGCAGAAAAGTAGAATTGGGCTGAAAGATCTATCACTTCTATCAATCGTGTTTTTAAAAAGTAACTAAGTAATTAATTACTTTTGAAAATAAGTAATCAGTAAAGTAACAGGATTACTTTCGGGGAAGTAATCAGTAATTAGTTACTGATTACTTTTTTCAAGTAATTTGACCAACACTGGTCCTTATACACACACATTACGGTAATATTACGTTGAAGCAGAGTACGTATAACTCTGCGAGGCTCCTCTGTAATGCTCCAACAATCCATCAAGCAGTTTCGTAGCTTACCAAAGTCGTACCAAAACATTTTTGAAAGGTTTCTGAGCGCCGTGTGCCACATACAATCGGTTTGCGGTCAGTAAGCACAACCAGAATTCATACATAAGGTGCACTGTCGATTTTTGAGAAAATGAAAGGATTTTAGCCCGGTCAGCTCATTAATGCGTTGATACCGTCCAGCCCCATGCATGGGGCGATCCGCGGTAACTCGTTAAGAGATTTGCCCTGTTAATGCAGTTATGTCGTTTACCGACCAGCTCTTCTTTGATAGCTGCCGTGTCCATCTTGTCATTGCCTGCAGGTGAAGCGATGGGGGAGGGGGAGTTGTGTTCAGTGAAGGAGAGGCAAGGCCGAGTAACGTTGCGTAGAGACAAAAGTGGACGAAAGAGAGGCAAACTTGCGGCTCCACAAGTATAGTTCAAACGTAACATAGACTATATCGATATAAACAATATTGTCACATCCCATATCTCATATAAAAATATATCGATATATTTAAAAATTCCATATATTGCCCAGTCCTACTGTCGGAGCTGGGGCTCGAACCGGAAACCTTCCAATTACAAGACGAACTGCCAACTCTTGAGCCACGATCTCCCCACACACTGTGACAGAGATTTCAATCCTGAGCTCACGATAAATCCACCAATAGAAACATCTGCAAATGTATTCAGTCTGAGCACTGAATACATTTTATATATAACACAGTAGTAGGCTTACAAAACAGTAAGCGCTTACTGTTTTGTTTTTTTAACTTTTTATTTAGAATTTTCATTCTGACAGGAGTATGACAAAAAACAAATAAACAAAAAAACAGCAAAATTAAAAGAGGAACAAAATGTTCCAATCATCACACAAAAAGAGATATAAGCAAAATTAAGTGACAGAATTTTCAAGCCTTTGCTTATATTTATGCCATTTAGTCCAACGTTGTTGAAAGAGATGACCTTTTAGTCGTAGAAGGAAAGTCAGTCTCTCCATAAGATGCATTTCCTCTATAATCTCTAGCACTAACTCAGGGAGGATCTGTCTTAAGCCAATTCCTTGTTATGGCCTTTTTAGATGCGATCAACTGGATTTTAAAAATATATCTGTCATTTTTTAGAATCAAATCTCTGGGTAGCAAGCCCAGTAATAAGATTCTGGGATCCTTAGGGATGGCATAGGACATGATGTTATCTGTTAACTTGGATATACTGTCCCAAAAGGAAGTCAATTGTGTACATGTCCAAAAAATATGAGAGTGATTGGCGTTCGGGTGGCCACACTGTCTCCAACATTGTTGCCGGTGCCCTTGAAAGTTGTTAGTAATATGTGGAGAAATAAAGAATCTAAAAGTTTTCCACCTGAATTCCCTCCACCTTTAGGAGCTAGTTGATGTTTGTTGTGTGGTACACATTTAGAGCCAATCACCCTCTGACAATCCAATTTTCAACTCTGCTTCCCATTTTGACTTCACATATAGTGTGTTGTTGCCATATTGTTTTTGTAGCCCTTTCTAGTGTTTAGACACTGTTTTGGTGGGCAGACATTTGTAGGCATTTGTAAAGACTTTGGCAAGATCAATTTCTGGGGAGGAGGGGCCCTTTATTTCTGTATTGGAAAAAAATGACGAACCTGCAGATATCGCAACAGATCCGTATTTTCCAGATTGAATTCTGTTTTCAATTTTTTTTAAATGATTTAAAGGTGCCTGCTTCTACAAACAGACACAGAGCAGTTAAACGTTTTCCAATACAACCCAAGAATGTTGGATCTAACCTTCCAGGTGGGAACTTCTGTAAGTAGGAAGGCCATGACAAAATGTTAATATTGCTCCCCAGATTGTATTTGTTAATAACTTCATGCCAAATTAAAAGAGTGTTTTCCACTATATGGTTATCTAAGTTACTTATCCTTGATTTTTCTACCAACCGTGTTTGGGGAGGAGACATGCTAAACTCAATTTGTTTCCATTGGGTCCCCACTGCCGGGGAACATCAACAAACAATGTTGCTGCCAAGTAATAAGTTGGGGAGGGCCAGTCTGCCATGATCTCTATCAATTTGAAGGGTTTTAAATTGTATCCTTGGTCCAGCTCCTGCGCATATAAAGTGTGATATTAACTTGTCTCAGGATTTGAATTGAACATCTGGGATTTTAATGGGAAGAGCCATAAAGAGATATAAGAATCTGGACAACAGATTCATCTTCACAATCTCTATTCTTGTACTAAAGTCCGGAGTCAGTGAAGACCAGCGAGTTGTGTCCTCCTGAATTGAGTTCAGCAGATTATCAAAGTTCAGGACTTGTGTTTTAGTAATATTTAATTTATAACCAGACAGGGCCCCAAACTCTTTCAGAGTTGACATGAGCTCAGGGGGTGACATATCAGGATTCAGGCTCAATAAACAAAGCGAAGAGCGAGGGGCTGAGCATCCTTGCCGGGTGCCTCTATTCAATTGAAAACTAGAGGATAGATGTCCATTGATCTTTAACCTGGCCACTGGGCTACTGTATAATGATTGTATACATTTAATGATCTTGTTGAATCCTAGACACTCTAGTACCTTATAAAGAAAGGGCCAGCTGACCAGGTCAAAAGCTTTTTCTGCGTCTAGGCTTACTAGTGCCATATTCAGTTTCTGATTCTTTGCTTCTTCTATAATATGAAGCGTTCTTCTGATACTGTCATGTGTTTGACACCCTTTTATGAAGCCTATCTGATCTTCGTGTATTAAATCCAGCAAATGGACATCTAGTCTAGAAATTATTGACGTAAATAATTTATAGTCTACATTCAAAATAGAAATGGGGCGGTAAGATTCACAGTATTCTTTATCTTTACCCTCTTTAGGTAGGACAGATATTACTGCCTCATGCCAGGATGGAGATATTTTAGCATTGTCGAGGGTCAAGTTAAAGGATTCGAGTAAAGTAGGGGCAAGTTCCTCTTTAAATATTTTGTACCACTCATTTGGAAATCCATCACTACCAGGGCACTTATTTGCTTTAAAGTTACTGATTGCAGTATCTAATTGTTCTCTAGTTATGTGTGCATAAAGCTTCATTCTGTAATAATCCAAGAGAAGGAAGAGCTAAAGAGGATAAATATTTCTGCTATTGGAGCTAGACACGAATATAACGATTGGTAGTAGTCATTAAAAATTGTGTGAATTTCTACCAGATCATAAATCAAGTTAGCGTTAGAGGGGTCCCTGATCCGAAGGACAGCATGCTTTTGTTCCTGCTTCCGGAGCCGCCTAGCTAGAATTTGTTGCTTTCGGGGATGATTCGTAAAGGGATTGCTTGCAGAATCTTAATCTCTTTTCCAATTCGTCTTGCACTAACACTTTTATCTTGTTTTTAGTTACTCTAATTTGGTTGACCAAGCTTTGATCTTTGCCGTTTTGTTGTAGTTTGATTTCTACGTTTCTCAGATCTTTTTCGAGATCATCATATGCTGCCCTTTTACCTTTTTTTTTTTTTTTTTTTAAGATGAGCCACCCTTGAAATCAGTCTACCCCTCTCACTGCCTTAACCGTGTCCCACACCACAATCGCCTTAACCTGACCATCGTTATTATCTCCTGTGCAACTGGTTATTTCCCCCTTTAACTCCTTTATAGCAGACTCTTTATTGAGGATACCTAAGTTCCATATTGTAGATTTGGCAAAACTTGATAATTGAACAGATAAATAAATCATATTATGATCTGATAAATCTGAAGTACCGATCGACCACTCCTTTCCTCTGTCAGTCAACAACGTTCATTAGGAAGAAATCAAGTCTGGAATGAACTTGGTGCGAGAATGAGCAGTGGGTGTAATCCCTGTTTTTAGGATGGAGGGCTCTTCAAACATCGAACAGACCAGTTTCTTTCATCAAGATATTAAGATCCTTTGAACTATGTTTGTTGTCTCTTACAACTTGTCATATCCAGGGAGACGTTAAGAATTGTATTCCAGTCTCCACCACAGAATAAAATCCCTTCGCCCACTCTAATTAAAGCATAAAAAAAATGACTTAAATAATTTTCTATCACATTCGAGAGGAATATACACATTAGCTAGTGTGATAACAATATTATTAACTCTCCCTTTGATAGATATCTGCCCACCTTGTCACCAACCTCATCAAGGAAATCAAAGTTTAATAGATTAGAAATAAGATTTGTTATTCCTCTTTGTCTGCTATTGCTACAGGTGCTATAAAAAAAGTGGAATATCTGGGAAATTAAAATTTAGCGTGTTCCTTTTTTTGACAAATGTGTCTCTTTTAGAAAAGCCACGTGTGAGCCATCCTTTCTTCAATTTCTCCAGAACCCTTTTTTTCCTTTTAAGTGGATTGCCCAAACCATTAACCTTCAGGGAGGCTATTTTAAAACTATCCAACATTGAACAAGACAGTAAAAATAAGTGAAACTGGAACAGTGGCCCCCGAAACCATAGCAAAACAGATATAGGGGAAACAATGAAGAACTGACTTCTAGAGGAGACTCTTGCTCCCCAACTAAGACCCCGTTGGTGGGTCGGGGGGAAGCCTCTCAAAGTGAGAGGGCCTGGAAAGGAAAGTAACTGTCTATAGACATAAACACCACCATCCTAAAAGTCCCAACGTATAAGAACGTAAACGGAGAACCAACTCTCCCACCTGGCTGGTGAATGAAGTGAGGCCAAAAGGGAGCGGAAAGGAGCTTCCTCATTAAAACTAAACCACTGGATCTCTTTGGAAACCCTGTAGCTTATCCTTTGCTCTCATTGCCGTGGCTAGGCCGTTGCCTTTTGCTGATTGCCAGCCCAGAAGCTCTCGAAGTTGCGACACTGCATTCGGCTGATCTTCCTTCTCTGAAACCAAATGTTTTTCTCTTTGAGCAGCTTCTTTATGGCTGTATTCTTTGCGTTTTTTTGACAATTTCACATGGATAATCATGGTCGAAATAGATGAAGCTGGCACCTACTTTGATTTTTTTTTTTTTTTTTTTTCCATGCTCTCAGGACCATGTTGTTGAATATTCCTGAAAGTTGATGACAGGTCCCGGAGGTGCCCCCGGTAGGGGTTTACTTGCCAGCGAGCGATGTGCGCGTTAAATTTTCATGTCAAAATCCTCCGGTATTTGCAGGTGGGTCCATGAATTATGGAACCGGGTTCTTTTCTCCCCCCTCCAACAAACCGAATAGACGAATATTGTTTCTCTGTGACCTTGATTCCAGATCAGTAATCTTTTGCTGAAGACTTTTCCGCTCCTCCAGACTCGTGCACATGGCCATGGTCACCTCTTCAGCCCAGTTCTCCAGCTGGGTGATCCTGGACTCCGCCTCATCCACCCGCTCTGATAGGCACTGTATGTCCCAGGCAATGTTATCCAGCTTGCATTAATTTCATGGCTCAGTTTGCCCATATTTTGTCTGCTGTCCTCTCGAATCTCCGCTTTTGGCTTTACTATAGCTTTGAGTATCTCCGAGTCTTTGCTAGCGGCTGCGTTGTTGCTAGCATTAGCTTGGTCCGGCTGAGAGTTAGCTTTAGCGGTCGAAGCGCTTCTATCTTGTTGTTTCGGCATATTCTCCCACTCCCTTAAGGCATTTTAGGGGTTATAACCCTTTCGATGTTGAGTGAGTAGAAAACAATCCAAGATAACGAGATTAGAAGGAATAACTAAAGGTAAGGTGGGAGAGCAACTCCTCAACGTGACCGGTTACTCCATTGGCTGAAGCAGAAGTCCCTAGGCTTACTGTTTTTCAAGAACAGAAAAGCCAGAGTTTTATGTCAGGGTCCAAGCATGTTTCAGAAAACCAGCTGAAGAGATGCTTTGGTTGTCTTTGTTCTTATGTGTTGTTTACCTCACTTTGTTTGTTGTTGTCAGATCTCTCTGGTGCGGATGCCATACGCCTGTAAGCTTCTGTTCCAGGAGTTGATGTCAATGAGCATTGCTCCTCGTATGATGACATCATAAAGTAATCAACCGGATGCAGGGAACATTGTGACGTCACAAGAAAGTGAAAGTCGAAGTTTAGTTGTTGTTTTTTTTTAGTTTTTTTTGTCTTGCTTTTTGTAAAAGTCAATAAATCAGTTCCTGATCATGTGATGATCTGTGTTTTGTTCTTCATGTGACTATCCTGACGGGTTATGACTTTAAGGTACAACTGGTGAGTCTCCAGTATTGATCAGAGATTTTTTTGAGTCAGGTGATCGATTTAAAAACTCAGATGATCAAGTTAACTGAATCCTCTCTCACTCTGAGCACGCTCACGTTACAGGCATTTGAAGGGTCATGTTACCTGCATATAAGAATATTAATATATACACTACCAGTTAAGTTTTAGAACACCCAGTTTTTCCAGTTATTTGTTGCAATTCAAATTGTGTAAGTCCAGTGAACAGCTTGAAATGGTACAAAGGTAAGTGGTGAACTGCCAAAGGTTAAAAACGGTAAGGTTACCCAAAACTGGAAAAACACGTACATGTCAGAATTATATAAAAAGACCTTTTTCAGGGAACACAACATGAGTTAACAATTTAACCTCCTAAGACCCAAAGTCTTCCATGGCACGCATTTTTAATTTCTCTTTGATATTTGGGCATATTGGGACCTGATGAATGTAAAAACCATTTTTAACCTGATTTTTGTTTCTAAGAAAAATGAGATCCACATATGAGGATATTCGTTTAAAATTTCGATAGAACAGTAGCAGTATGTAACCGAGGACAAGGTATGAGTAAATGGGGCAAAGAAATAAATTGATCATTTATTTATTACATCAATTAGACAGGACTTACAACACATTCTGCTGATATCCCAGCTGCACATGAGACTTACCAAACCAACGGTGCGAAAATAACACTGCAACCCGTCACACCCTGCTTAGCGACACTGCAATCGTGGCACGCACTGCAAACAATTCGGGTCTCAGCGCAGCTGGGAATCAGTGCTATGCATGACCTGCGATCTGGGAGATAAAGGGAAGTGGCACAAACAATTAAACAAAAAACAAAAAGGGAGGTTAGTCCGCCCTTACACAACTCACTCTCAATCAATACCCGCCTTTACGGCTGGACAACTAACCAAAACAAAATTACAAATCAATCAAAAGAACAAAGAAAGGACAGCAGAGACTATCGAGATTATCGATTAAAATATTACCCAATAAAATATCAGTTTTATGAAACCATTCAAAACAAACACTCAATATACCTACAATATTGATCAGTTTCCCTGCGCGCCGTCGATCTAGGGCTTGATCAATTCTTCTATTAAAATTCGTGGTCACACTAAAAAAGTCCAACGACACATTAAAAATAAGCACATACAATAGCAAATGATCCAAACAAAAATGGCAAAAGTCTCTTACCGACAGTATACCCACTCGCACTCGAGTGAATTAATTGCCTCTGTTTTTTTCCACAGAAGAGCGCTGACTTCACCCCACAAACCCACTACCTTTTCACAGCTCTTCAGCCAATCACCTGGTAGAGAGCAACAAACTGCCAGGTGACACTTGTTACAAGTATAATATCCTCCTAAGTGGATATTTGGCCCTTGTAGAGCGAAATTGAGTGTTTTGGTCTAAATACCCAAAATGTGATGTCGCCAGGTCCTAGGAGGTTAAAGCTGTTCTGCAGTATTGGAGATTGATCAGCCTTGAAAGTTGGTGCTACTAATTCCTACAGGTGTTCTAACTGTTCTGGATTACGTCCCCCTCTGTCTGCATGAAGCAGTGTTGGAGCACACTGTGGTACCATACCCTCGTGGGCATCAGCTGAACAGTACTGTACTGTAGTGTGTTGATACAAACATGGCGAGACTAACAGTGGAAAAGAGACAGACCATCATAACACATAAATGTCGGTCTGTCCGACAGAGAAACTGCAAACAAAGTCAAGGTGTCAGTGAGTCCAGTTTCCTTTAGCATCCAAAGGCTCAGAAACAAACTGACAGGAAGAGGTCTGCAGACCCAAAGACACGACTGAATCAGGCTACGTCCACACAGCTTAATAGTGGTTGTAGTGAGCAAGTCTCAGTTTCAGGTGTGAAGAGAAGGCTTTGAGCTGCAGATTTGACAGGACGAGCTGCAGCAAGAAAGCCAGACGTCAGAATAAGACAAAGGCTGTGTCCCAATTCAGGGTCTGCATGCTTGAAGTACGCATTTTAAGTGCAGTTACATCACCGCCACGCGACGACGGCTGTCCGAATTCGAAGTGTACTTCAAATGCATACTCCAAATGCGCCGTCGATTTCCCCAAATATCAAGCGTGGTCC